ATTTTCTTCTCTCATTGCAGGGATTTGAAAACTGCATATACACTTACCTTGTCTGAATATAAATTGCTGCGCGCCGTTTTCTTCATATTATCATACAAGGCATGCAACTGTTTGGCAGTGCGATGCCCCGTTTCACACTGTGCATTGTAACTTTGGGCAATTTCCTGCCATGCCAAATTTTTTTTGGCCACGGTTATAGCATCTGACTCCTTGTTTTCTATGACACTTTTAAAATCGGCCGTAACTAGTTCAAAAAGCATATTTTTCTCTCTTTCGGTGAAATTTTTACCTCTAATGCGTTTATCACCCATTTTGATATTTGAATATGTCAAAAATTACCGACATTTATAGTAGCGCCATCTATGCGATTTTAAAAAAATCCTTAGTTCAGGATACAACCGCCAGTTAGTTATCCGACCTACAAACTAACTGGAGAATGTTTTCAGAAACCGAACTGAATTTTAACTGTCCGATAAATTTAACGGACAGTTAGTTAACAGACCAGTTAAATATGGTTCGAGAAACCGGCCATAAGTTGTATAAAAATATTAGCTGTCAGATTTGAAGTTTCAAATTTCAAAACTCAGTGGCGTCTCTTTTTTTTTGTAAAAAATATTAGTTGTCAGATTTGAAGTTTCGAATTTTAGATTCGTTCATTTTTGGAATTTGTTCGCAAAGATGCGAGTAGCAATAAAGTCGCATCGAACAAAGCGATTCGTACAAACGTCAAAACCGTTCGCAACTTTGCAAGAAGGTAACTTTCGTATTCACAACTGATTCAGGTGAGTTCAACAATCAACCCCCAGTTCTCTTGTCACGCCACTAAAGTCATTGCCATATAACCTTAAACAAATCTGTCATAAGGTTGACAAACTTCACGGCAAAAACAGGGAGTACCAATTCTCTCAATCAATTTTGATGACTCTGTATAAGCAGGTATAAGAGAAAATTTAATATTATACATGTGACAAAAATGCCAGTATAGGCTCGTGAGTCAGTATAACACTCGTGTCATACATACTCACTCACCTATACTGGCTTATTTTTGTCACTTGTATAATACATAACTAATACTACTACCGTTGACGTAGAAAACGACAAGAGATAGCTTCATGTCTAGTCACAGCTTTCAGTTTGAGTATTGGTATCTATTTATTATATGATCTAAGGATGCAAACTGCGGCGGATCTAGTGCTTTAATCATGTCTAGCCGATGTTGTAAGTTTTTATAGGATGCGACGAATAATAAAAACAGGTAGCAGCCCGTAGTAGGGTTACTCATGGAAAACTGCGAACAAATGGTTTCTTCTTTTTTTTAGATCTAAGAGCCGTATTACACGTCACAGAAATACTCTGAAAATTATAATGAAAATCATAACGAAAACTGGAACGAAATTAATGTGCGTAAAAATTTTGCTTCACACGCTGCCTCACCTCAACAAATCGTAAATAAATGACCATTGCGCACTTTGGTGAACACTTTACCGTCAAATCTTTGTCAAAATTTGTACAGAAATTTTCGTTATAATTTTCGGAGTAATTGCGTGACGTGTAAAACGGTTCTGAGAATAAAATGAGATGAATGTAATAACCAGTACGCGGGAATTTATCTCACCGCTGCAATCCCCCAGTTGAAGTAAGGTGTGTTTTACGGCGAGTAGCGGGGACGCTTTGATCTGGTCCACAAGGTGTAGCCTGTGCGTCGCTAGGAGTGTTTACAGCTAGTAAAAAAACTACTTCTATATTACTATATTACTTCAAATAATAATACTTTTTAATTTTTCAACCACAGGACCACATATTTGTGATCTTGAAATGTTATATTATGTTGAAATAGTCCAAAATAAAAATATATTTGTATTCAAACTATCGCCGCGACAGCACTGGTTCTAGCGTATGAGATACAATTCCGCGCGTTGGTAATACCATACGTTTTAATTGTATTAATAGTTATTTACATTACAAGCTGCGTAAGTAAACCTTTTTGTCGAGGTGGATTTAACGCGCCGAGGCAACGCCGATGCCCGGCAAACCTCCGAGACGTAAGAAAGGAGGTTTTTATTTGTATGAGATTCTACTATGATAGCTATTAATAATCCACTTGATATTTTTGAACTAAAAAAATCGCATTAAAAAGAAGGGTGAGTTAAAAAGTACAACAGAAAAAACACGTTTAAAAAGATGACAAAAAGTTACAAAACAACGAAAAAAAAACGCGCAAAAAAACCTGGAAAAAGGCGACTAAAATAATAATATCCAACAAAATATTAACATGGCGTTATCAAATTTTTGGAAAAAACATTTTGATTTACGATTTATCATGTTTATGGTAATAATAAAACGTCTGCAAAACTTAAATAGTAAAATTGTCTTACAATTTCAATTTTTTTTTTTCAGAAAATCAAGACGGATTCATATCTCATAAGTGTAAAAGTATGTTATTTTATAAAATTTTAGTAACATTTACTATGTAAAATTGTGAAGTGACGTCATTACATTATTGGTGCGAGTTGATCAGGCTAATTTTGCTTCGACACAGACTATAGACAGACAGACAGACGAAAACGGAGCCCTATTGTTTCATACTCTAGGACCATGAAACTTCAAAAAAACATGAAAGTAGCCATTTGTGACATGGACCCTATTATAATACTTCCTCACGTTTAAAGCTTGGGAAATACAAATCGCCAGAAGAGAGGACGGGGTTTATTTTATGTGATCTACTATGATGGCCATTAATAACCCACTTTCTATTTTTGAACTAAAAAAATCGTATTAAAAACATTAGAAAAAATCCAGAAAATCCAAAACATCCAAAAAAACCAAGAAATGTTAGAAATCCCAAAAACTCAGGAAAAGTAATAATCCAAAAAATGAAAATTTTCAAAAAATTAGAAGAAAATATAAATCAAAGAATTTGAGAAATCCAAAATAACAAAAAAATCCAAGAAACCCGAGAAAGTCAAAAAACTCAAGAAATCTAATAATTCCAGAAAATCCAAAAATCCAAAAATGAAAAATATCCCAAAAATCCAAGAAACGCAAGAAACCCTAGAAATTCTGGAAATCCTTTAATCCAAAAAATGGAAAATATCAAAAAATTTTAAAAACTTAAAAAATCAAAGAATTTAAAAATTCTAAAAAATCCAAGACACTCAAGAAAACCGAGAAATCCGAAAATTCCAAAAAATCTGAAACATCCAAGATTTTTTCTGCTACCGTGCTACCGAGACCAGTAACACTAAAAAGTAATAATTGTCGTAACTAAAAAATATTTAACAAATTATCAGGAACTCGTTGAATGTATTCATTTCCGTAGCAACAAAGTAAAAAATTTATTTACACATGAAGTTTTCTAAAACGTAGTTGTTCAAAGTGAAAAATGAGTGATTCAAGTCATTTAAAGGCAATTGAAGAAGCTGCCAATATTGCTTGCGCATCTCTGTTGCCTGAAAAATCGAAATTACGTTATAATCGAACTTATAAAGCATTTTCAAATTGGTATACATTACGAAACATTCAAGATGTTAATGAAACCGTAATGCTTGGTTATTTTATGGAAAGATCCAAAGCCCTCAAGTCTTCTAGCAGTTTAAGGTGTGAATATTCAATGCTGAAATTAACGTCGTGTCAACTCGGTATTTTTACTGACCCGTTTTCATGGGTGGTCGTTTGTCTTGTGACCGTATGAGGGCGCGCAACGCAAGGTATTTCTAAAGTCCCTAGATAACCAAAGTACCGCAATTGAATGTTTCAATGTGTTAGAGAGAGAACGTGTATTTCGGACACAATATGGCGACTGACAAACGTCAATGTTAATTGTCAAACGCTGTTTAACGCATCACCTGTTTTGCAAAGTTGTTTGTGTTTTTTGTAAAGTTGTTTGTGTTTTTTTGTGGTGTTTTATGACTCTTATTTTAAAATGCCAAGTTGTGATCCTTTGTGTGGAAATACCCTAAAATCGCGCGTATAGTCCGCGGACTATACGTTGTTTTTCCTGACGCCGGGTGCGGACTATATGCGAGGCGGACTATAGGCGAGGGCGGACTATACGCTGTAGGAAAACCAACAAAAAATTTAAACGCAAAATAAAAAAATTTATTGGGCATTCTCAATATAAATGAAAAATAAAATATATAACAAAAATAAAAAGATTCTCAAAAGTACCTAGATACTTAAATTTAGGTAAATAGGTAGCAAATATCGAACCTTATCGAACCATACAGACACGCACATTGTCCGCGGATTATACGCGAGGTTGCGGACTATCTGATTTTTAGGAGGGAGATTTAAAAACTGCGGACTATGTGTGAGGGCGGACTATGCGCGGGGGCGGACTATAAGCGCGATTTTAGGGTAAAAGCCGATTGTTTCGTCTTCCAACAGGTAGGTTACAACTGAGTTTTCAATTGAGTTTTCTCAACTAATTTAAATTGTTGCAGGTGTTAGTCATAGGGCTAGAAGAGGAGAATTTAATAGGCCGGGACGATTTGAACGACAACTCCAGAATTTGCGAAGTAATTTGTTTAAAGCTAGAATATGTAATTGCACAATGTTAAATACTATTTACTTTTAGTTACATTTTTCTGAATAACAATTCGAAGCAAAGCGAGCAGAAGGAAGGAAACTATTGCGGCCGAAATTTTGTTAATAAACTGGTATTGCAAGGCTTCTCATCTATATTTTTTACTCACCCCTTATGTTTATCAATAGCATTTAAGTGCATTGAACAAATAACGCTTAAACATAAATAAATGCTTATTTGAAAAAAATCTACATTTACGTTTTGTACGAAAGTATCGAGTCCGTTAATTTTTATTTATTTATTTTGAATTTGGCGCGGACACAATATGGCGCCCAATTGCGCTACTTTATCTATCTAGTGACTTTAAGATTTAGAGTCAGTCTCTAGATAACCAAAGTAACGCAATTGAATGTTTCAATGTGTTAGAGAGAGAACGTGTATTTCGGACACAATATGGCGACCGACAAACGTCAAAGTTAATTGTGAAACTCTCTTTAACGCATCACCTCGTGGCGTAAGTCCTGTTTTGTAAAGTTGTTTGTGTTTTTTGTAAAGTTGTTTGTGTTTTTTTTGTGGTATTTTATAACTTTTATTTTAAAATGCCAGGTTGTTGTGTTCCTTTGTGTGGAAATAAAAGCCGATTGTTTCGTCTTCCAACAGGTAGGTTACAACTGAGTTTTCAATTGAGTTTTTTCAACTAATTTAAATTGTTGCAGGTGTTAGTAATAGGGCTAGAAGAGAGATGTGGGAGAATTTAATAGGCCGGGACGATTTGAACGACAACTCCAGAATTTGCGAAGTAATTTGTTTAAACCTTGAATATGTAATTGCACAATGTTAAATATATTTACTTTTAGTTACATTTTTCTGAACAACAATTTGAAGCAAAGCGAGCAGATGGAAGGAAACTATTGCGGCCGAATGCTGTTCCAGATGTATTAAATAAAAATGTTGGTGCTTGTGTTTCAATGGACGACTGTACTCCTTTGACAACTGCTAGGGAAAATGAAATTTTTGAACTTGAAAGCTGTAGCAACAATGAAAATGTAAATGTTGGTTGTTTCCCTGAAGTGGACTCGTTATTGGACCAAACCAACATAGTGGAAGAATTTCAAACGTTGATCGAAAATTTACGTAACGCTTTGAGAAAAGCTTTACGGGAGCGCAATAAATATAAAAAGGCACTGGAAAATTGTGTCAATAATTTACAAGGGACATTAAACGAGGATCAAATTCAATTTATTCAGACTGGCACTGCCAGAGGCCAACTATGGTCAGAAGATACAATGACAAAAGCACTGAAATTGTATTTAGCTTGTGGCGCGAAGGGTTATGAAGAAATACGACGGCAGAAATTGCCATATCCGAGCATTAGGACCATACAACAACGTCTTCAAGGAATAACGCTTAAACATAAATAAATGTTTATTTGAAAAAAATCTACATTTACGCTTTGTACGCAAGTATCGAGTCCGTTAATTTTTATTTATTTATTTTGAATTTGGCGCGGACACAATATGGCGCCTAATTGCGGTACTTTATATATCTAGTGACTTTATACAGATTTAGTGTTCCTGTAGAGAGAGTTCCGCAATTAATCAGTAAAGTAAGGTTAGAATTTAGAATGCGCGGCAGTTCATAATTCAAAAATTCTACTATGGGTTTCTTATGGGAGCTTGATTTTACAGACAAAATACGCCGCATAGGTATAAATCTTAACTAGTTCATGCTACAAGCGATAAAGACTGTACAATTATCTTCCTTACTACTTACTAAAGGTTTAACTATATAAAAAGCTTCTGTTAAAGAAATATTGCAAATTAAAAAAAACGCTATCCATCGAAGTCACGTACATCGTTTCTAACGTCTTGCGCATGAGTGAAACGGAAAATCCAGAAACCCTTGGGAAAGAAAAAGAACGTGAATATTTTGCGGTACTAGTGACGTTTAGATCGTGAAAATCCCCAAAATATGACAGTTGATTTCGTACTTTAATCACAACAATCATAATCAATTTTTGGGTGATATTAGTTCTGTGATATTAGTTCACATTAGGTTGTATATGTCTGTGGACTGGTTTTTTTGTATTTGTTATTAATAATGACAGAAAGACATGTGTTAACAAATAGGGGCAATTACCAATTTTTTTTTGTTGACGATCGGAAATGTATTGTGAACGGAGAAAATTCTTTGCAGTCAAATAATGTAGTGAAAGTCAATTGGTATACTGAATTAAATTAAATGTGCTTGAAGAGTTTCTTCGAGCTAGAATGTGAAATAACCAGGTATAAATAAGGTTATGGTAAGTTAATGTATATTGATAATAGTTCTGTATCAAGTACAATTATGAGGTATTTTGTTTTATTATGCATAGATATTTCTTAAGAGAGGCAACATGTGAAACCCCAAGAGGTGCATTTGTATGTCACCATATGGCTACACCTGCCCTACACGGACGTTATAATGTATGTATTTTGGACCAATAATTTGCGTTCTTGGGACGTACATCTGAAGAAAAGTGAATCAGCTGAGGTCAGAGCTGTTATCTCTGAAAATTCTTTTAATCCCCAAGTCAACCTAAAAACAGCTAATGTTGAGGTACAACTTCATGAAAGCTTACGACAAACTGATGGGAGCGAAGCACCACAGCGAAGCACTGCTTTGGCTATTGGGCTCTAAACCAGAATGATCTCAAGAAAATCTACTTCACAGTGTCGAAGAACTATTAGTGTCTGAGGACTATTTAAATGGACCATCAAGACGACAGTTTTTCACCAAAAGTGAATCAGATTTTGCATTAGGAAGTGCAATTTTTTATTGTAGAATATTTTTTTTGTTTTGTAATAAATTGTTCTTTAAATTGTGATTTTTTTTAAATGGGTGTTTCAGACCCAATTCGTACTAAAATGAAAGTGATTTTTACTTAAACATGAAAGGTTTAATCAGGAATGCCAAGTTTTTCCTTTTCTAGCAAAAATGCGTGAAAAGAAAAAAGCTTGGGATTGATGATGATTCTTAAATCAAAATTTGGCAATTGATTGAAAACATTTGCAAATATGAGATCTCCTTTATGTATTATTTTAAATTCACAACCGTATCTGCAGCATGTGAAAATCAAAGCCATTTATGTGGAGGGGGAACTCAATGGCAGTATGAACCACTGTACGACATACGTCCGAGGCAAATGTAGTGGTAAAAGTTGAATTTAAATATTTATTAAATACCACCGGTTCCGTTCATGTTTGGTATCGAGATCAATAGTAAAAATATCAGTCTTAATGGTAGTGGGATATATAAGAAAATTACTTTAATGGTACAATTTAAGCGTTAAAGTGACGCCTTGATTTCACCCATAAGGATTACACGGGAAACTGAAATACGGGTCTCGTGTTATGAACTGAGTTCAAATTTCGCGCGTCATTCACTTTACTGGTCAATTGTTTTACTCACTACCTTGGACTTAAAATGGCGGCTCGGCATCAGCTGGAAGAAAGCTAGTTTTGCTTGTTGTTTTGATTGTTGTTTTTTGGGCAAAAACAGGGCGCGAATGTGTGTATAGTGCGTGTATATTAGGGTGATTAAAAAAAAAAAACAATTTTTTTTTTTGTGCAAAGAGGTTCAAAAGTTTCTTTTCAACGTAAAAAAATACCAGTTAAAATTTGAGCTCTTAATATTAATATTAAGACCGTCCGCATCGCGTTTTTCTATTTCCCATAAGAATAACATGGGAAAATTTTTGTTTGCACCTTCTGATTTTTATTGCTAGCCCGTCGTGTGTCGTGAAAAAAATTCAATCACATATTTTTATAGAGAATTGAACGCTCTACAAAAAGTGTCTCCTATGATTGTGCGAGAAACCTGATAGTTGAAGAGTTATTTTAGGCTAAAGTTAAATTTATCGCAAATTTTGACGTTTTTGATGCATTACAATAAATTTGATGGTCTTATTGGAATAAATCACCACAAAAATTTATACACATTTTAAATTTAGTTTTTTAAACAGTAATTGTTTATAATTTTATGCTATAATAAGGCCAGTAAAACTCTTTCCGAACATTTTCAGCATCAGTGGGTTAAAAAATCATAGTCAGGTTTCTCGCAAAATCATAGGAGACACTTTTTGTAGAGCGTTCAATTCTCTATAAAAATATGTGATTGCATTTTTTTCACGACACACGACGGGCTAGCAATAAAAATCAGAAGGTGCAAACAAAAATTTTCCCATGTTATTCTTATGGGAAATAGAAAAACGCGATGCGGACGGTCTTAATATTAATATTAAGAGCTCAAATTTTAACTGGTATTTTTTTACGTTGAAAAGAAACTTTTGAACCTCTTTGACACGAAAAAAAAAATATATATTTTTTTTGAATCACCCTAGTGTATATATAATATGTATATAATATTATTTACTTGGAAAACATGGGAATAAGTTTATAGATAAAAAATACCAATAGTGCAGTATTACAAGTAGTAAGAGTATTGCGATGCGTATTTTGGCAAACAAAATGCAATAAGACATTTCAGTATTTCTGCGTTTCATTGACCTTTCGTTCGTATACCTAAATTCTTGTTATATCATTAAGATCCAAATTAAAACAGTATTATGGATGATGTGAATAAAGTTGGGAAATAATACTTTGTTTCGATTCAAAAATTGCCCTTCGTTTTACTTTTATTCTAAAAGTTTATTGTACCACAATTTATTATTATTCATACCTCCCATCAACTTGGTCCGTTTAAAGTTGGCGCGTGGTGTTGGAGTTACAATGGCGGAGGTTTGCGGAACTCTCTCTACACGGACACTATACAGATTTACATACAGATATAATGGCACTACAAACTGGCACCATTATGTTCTTGTATCAAACTGGCACCCGAAAACTGGCAACACTGCATTCATGGCATTTACAGAGTATTCCTATTCGCCGTGAAGTTTTTAGTTCAGTTGTAATTGTGCAAAATGTATTCATAAAGTAAAAGATTCGTTCGTCTAGAAAAACAACAACTTAAAAATGGAAGAATAACTATTGTTCTATATAATTTCGTGTTATCTTAAAAATCAAATTTCTTTTAAAATACATTTTAGTTCTTAATTATAACTACATATATGCCATAAGTAGCAAATTCTAAGTTTTTGAAATACAGCCAATAACCTCTTAATCGTTTCAGAATTACGAAGTTTACAATTAATCAGATTTAAGTAGAAAATAGTAATAAAAAAATTTACATTTTACAAACTTCATAACAATCCGATGACTTCTAAATATTTTCCAAGACATTTACAAAGACAGAGAGAAAAGTTAAAGTAATATTTAATTTAGATAAACAAAGTTGGAAAAGAAAAAAATGTTATCTGCATTAAGACACGAAGCAACACTTTGAAAAAATTAATGGAAAAAGCAAATACTACCAATTTTAAAAATAAGGTATTGGAAGAAATTGAAACTGATCTGGAAAGATGAAAATGATGAAGAAGAAAATACAGAAGAAACAAAACAAAACTGCGCACCGGAATTATTAGGTTTTTGAACTAGTGACTACCCGACCTGGACCGAAGTTCAGGTTTTTATGTGACAAAGTATATACAGTACCTATATGCTAAAAAATTATCTAAAATTATTTATACAAAACTGCACAATTTTAGTATGTATGTATTTGTGAGGTGGTGAAAGATGACTTTATTTTAAGAATTTCACAAAAAGTGAATATATCGTTTTTGATACAATAAAAAAAATGGTAGAAGGTTATTTCGACAGAACTTTCCTGGACGTTAAAGTATAGTTCGACAAATCCCGTTGCATTAAAAAATTATAAAATTGATGTTGTGATGTTAGTTTCGTGCACTGTTTGGAAGTAATAAGTAATGAGGAATTGTAATGCATTACTTTTCAAAAAATGTAATGAGTAATTGTAGCGAATTACTTTTTTGAGTAATGCAATCACTTTTACAATTACTTTTACCCCAAATACTCAAAAATATTGTTTTGTTTTTCTCTACGAATTGTTTACTTGACCTAGTGGGATTATTACACCTAATTCGTCCCTACAAACAGAAGATTAACCCAAGGAGTGAGAATCTAAAACGAGTTTAGCACAGAATTTGTTAAAAAACCAGGTAATCATAATATACATAAGCTCTTAATCATTTTAAGGGTGAGCTAAAACATATTCCAACATAAGGAAATACATATAAACATCTGTCCAAGTTTTTGTCAAAAGTATACGTCCGATTGTAATAAACTTCACACCGTTGAAATGAGCGTAAAAAACCCTACTCAGACTGCTTTTCCGTTTTTTAAATTTTGTTGTCAAAAAAAAAACTACAATGCATTAAAATTGTGAAGAGTATGAGATTATCTGGTTTTCGCTATTTGTGGATCAATTTTAAATTTTCAAAAAGGTACATAGTATTAAAAAG